CTTGCCAACGAGACATACATATTCTGTCAGGCGTTAGTGTGGTCTGATGGCGTTCGGCATATAAGCAGTAAAATGAACTCTCAATTGTTTAATTTTATCTTCAACATAAACAGAAATGCAATAATGTATTTGGGAAATGAAATATGTATGGAGCAACAAATTCTAAATGCTTATATTTCAGTTTGAAGGAATGATAATATCATTGCAAGTAGGTGTCAAACACCGATAATAATGCATGGCAGCAGTCAGCCACTGTTTCCTCCATTTTCAGTTTAGCTCCATTTCAGTGAAAAATTACACTATTGTTTATTTACATGAATTCAAAACTGACGCAAGTGCTGCGCAATGTTCACTGATTTCCGTATCACTTGGCTTTTGAATTCACGACTAGTATAAATATTATACGGCTAATTATTATTAATAAAGAATTACAACAATTTCAAAACTGATTTTTAAAATAATCTATTATTGTGGCTACAATGCTGAAAATCATAATACATATAATAAATAATAATGCATTTTATTCATGCTACTTATGCATCTGATGACATAATGTAATCTGCGTCCTAGGGGGTCCACTTTCTAAATAGGAAAGCATTCAATCTCAAAATTCTATTTGCTATTAGGACAGACAAAAAACCTGTTGTCACCTGCCAGGTCATATTTTAGAAATGATTTTTTTTTTTACTTGCGGCAAATAATCATTTGGCAGTTGCCGGCTATGTGAGTATATGCCAAACTACAAGACCAAAGCACCAAGAGTTGTCAATGTGTCTTCCAAATTGCATTTATCAACATTGCTCACTGCCGATGATCTGCTTCAATGTTTGCAATATTTTTCTGTGTTTTTCACATCGAAAAGACATTCAAGATTCTTTACTTGCAGACCAAAGTTTTTGCCTGTCTTTATCTACACTTTCTAATGCAGTATTACTGGCTTAAATAGTCTGACTATCTGCACTTAACAATAAGTTTTTTTGTAATGGGACAAACCCCAATTTTAATAATCTGTAAATGGCTTTCATCAACGTATTTTCAAAAACAAATACGCATGCTACAGTGGTTGTGATAGGAACTACTACTCCTTCCCAGCATGCAAACTGCTGTTGACTACTGGAAATGTCAACTCCAGTCCTCCATCGTAGAATTTAGATTCTTAGCAACAACTGTCTTCTTAGTGAAATCCATGCCAGCCACCATGGAATATCTTTTTTCTTTGTCGGAGTCACCATGAAACAACTGTCCTTGGCAACATATTTTGTGTGCATTGGAGCCAACGAAGAACAAGTTCCAAGCAGCATGTTCCCTTGTCAAATCCATGGGTGTCGCCACGGTAAATCTGTCCCTCGCAATACACATTTTCCTTGTGACAACCATGGCAACCACCATGAAATTGATACAGTTCTGTACACCAGTTCAAATATTTTTGAGTTAATATACACAATCAATTCCCGGTTCCTGAATAGATAGTTTGAATGTTCATCGTTTGTGCGCTGTGGTCAATAAACCGGAAGGTAGGACAGA